AGGGCTGGGGTGCTGTCCTGGCAGAAGGTCAGCAGAAGACTAATGAAAAGCTCAGGCACAAACACCCTACAGTGCAATATGCGCTAAATCAGTGGCCTAGAAATCGTGATATTTTTAAAGAACTATTTACACTATGGGCAAATAACAGATGATGTTTTAGGCCTTTTGTTATGGACGAAGTTGCACTAAATTTCATAATAAACTGGCCCCAATGAGGATATCAGTGAGTAAAGCTTGTATGGAGTAGGGATGTTACGGATTAGTCAACAGAACACATATTCCTGCGCATCCAGAAATATAATCTATGCTATCATGTGCCGAAAGTGTCCGTCTGCTATGTACATTGGACAAACATCTCAGACACTTCGCCAAAGGATTAATGCCCACAAAACAGATATCAGACAAGATCACAAAGAAAAAACAGTTTCTTGCCATTTTAACCAGAAAGGACACTCTCTCAATGACTTAACCACCTGCATTCTGCTACAAAGACCTTTTACATCTGCACTTGAAAGGGAATCCTCTGAACTGTCATTCATGCTAAAATTCGACACTCTCCAAAGAGGATTGAACAAACACTTGAACTATCTTACCCATTATCAAGATAGCTTCCCCAATTATCACCTCTAATACCATTAACTCACAAACATCCCACTCTCCCCACCTCTAATATCATCAATTCACAGACACTTACCTTCCTTCCTTTCCCCCCTCCCCTGCATCCCCCTCCTGTTCTGAAACGTGATTTGTCCTTTTCATATGTGTTCATTTTTTTAAATTGTATCCTTTGGTATATATGGTTGTGACTATTTTCTTCCACTATTTGATCTGAGGAAGTGGGTCTGGCCCACGAAAGCTCATCATCTAATAAACCATCTTGTTAGTCTTAGACAAAGTGCTACATTGTCCTGCATTTTGCTTATCGGATAGTCTGTCAACTAGTTGATTCCTCCCCTTGCTAGGAGATAAAGGCAGCAAAGGGGTGGGGGTACTTCCACGGCTCAGCTGTGCAGTGCTGCTCCTTTAAACGCCTAAGCACTGTGGAGCCCAGGGTCAGCTGGAGTCTCTCCAGCTGACCCCAGGTTCTGAACATCATTTCCCCAGCTGGAAATTCCATTGACTACTCAACTAGTCAATTAACTGCATTTTAATATCCCTGGTATGGAGTTGCAGAAGACTCTAATGCAGGGAAACTGAGGCTGGTAGGCTTGTTTTGCCACAGCCTGCTACTGGAGGGTAGTCCTCACAGGGTTGCCCTAGGACAGGCATTTTTCCTCCCACTTTTGTATTTTATAAGCTGTTATATTTGTTGAAATATTATATTACTTGATCATTTTACAGAGCACCTAACAGACCTAATTAAATTTCTGGTGGTGCAGCCAAGGCGCAAAGACTGAATGGTGGAAAGCCCACCCAGAGCAAGGATGCAAAACACATACACAACTACAATCACTGCTATGCTAATGGTGTAAAGCAAGCAGATGAACCAGGAGTAGGAAAGAGCAACACCCGAGAGGCCTGAAGACAGATTAATTCAGCACCTTTTACAGACAACCTTGACATAGAGGGATCCTATGACACGTCCTGACGTAGTGCCACCACTATGTTGTCACAGAACCAAATCCTACTCCAATCTAACTGTCCATGAGAGCATGAAAGAGGTATTTATAAAGCAGACTGCTTTCTTCCATCCATCAAGTTGACCAAACGTTTTTATACACACACAGGCTACGTCTACATTGGTATGATCTTGCGCAAATACTCTTTAACGCAAGAGTTCTTGAGTTAAAGTATTTGCGCAAGAGAGCGTCTACACTGGCATGTGCCTTTGCGCAAGAGAGATGCTTTTGCGCAAGAGCATCCGTGCTAGTGTAGATGCTCTCTTGCATAAGAAAGCTCCAATGGCCATTTTAGCCATCGGGCTTTCTTGCGTGAGAAATTCATGTTGCCTGTCTACACTGGCCTCTTGCGTAAGAACAGTTGAGCAAGAGGGCTTATTCCTGAGCGGGAGCATCATAGTTCTTGCGCAAGAAGCCCTGATTTCACACATTAGAACGTCTGTGTTCTTCCGCAAGAACTCCCCGCCAGTGTAAACAGGCAGCATGTTTTTGTGCAAAAGCGGCCACTTTGGCGCAAGATCATTCCAATGTAGACACAGCCACAGTGTATGAACTTACAAAAAAGAAAACCTGCGAATTATGAAGAAAATTATGAAACAGGACTATAAAATCATGACTGGTGTGGAAAAAGTGAAGGAGAAAAAGTTGCTTGTTCCCATAACAGAAGAACTAGGAGACTCAAAATGAAATTAATAGCTAGCAGGCTTAAAACAAACAAAAAAGGAAATTTTTCTTCATGCAGCACAGTCAACCTGTAAAACTACTTGCCAGAGGATATTGTGAAGGCTAGGATTTTAATAGGGTTCAAAAGAGAGCTAGATAAATTCATGGAGATTAGGTCCATCAATGGCCATGAGCCAGGGTGGGTAGAAAAGGAGTCCCTAGCCTTTGATTGTCTGGAAATGAAAGACAGGAGAAGCATCATATGATGATTACCTGCTGTATTTATTCCCTCTAGGGCATCTAGCATTGGCCACAGTCGGCAGACCGGATATTGACCCAGTAAGGTCGTTCTTATGTTCTTAACAGCAATTATGTAAATGTACAACTACTTTTGGATACTTACCATTTCTCCTATGAAAATTTTTGTTTGTGCATGTGGTAAAAATTGGTGAACAAAAAAAGAAAATATATTTCTTTCTATTTTATGGTAAAGGAAGCACATTTCAAATTTTCTAGAATATCTTTGTAATTACTATGCAAAACCTCACAAAAAATCCATAACTTATTAAAAATTCTTCTTTATAGCTTTTAGTTTGACCAGTCAATACAAATCATATTCAGTTTCAACCATACCTGAATTGCCTAATAGTGTACTCCTTGCTAGAGATCCATCCATTATCTTTATCACCAAAACAAAGAACAAAGGTAGCCTTGTGTATTTGCCTAATACATTTATTTCTCTCCTTCCACCTTAGAATCTGTCTCCTTTTTGGAGCTCTTAAACTCAAGACAGAATAAAATAAAACATGTTGTATTTCAGTTGTTGTATTGCCTTCATCAACATGGTAACTAAGCACCTTGGAGAAATGCATTAAGCAATGTTACTAACATCTGTAATCTGTAGCTTACATCCTCCATCCACTTACCAGAAAGGAAGTCTGAAGACAGAGAAATTGCTCCCATCTTCACTAGGGTTTGTCTAAAATTTGAACTCAAGACCTCTTATATCCTAAAAGAAAAGTATACCACCACACTTACAACTAGCCTATGTGACAGAGAAACAAAGACGGATAAATGAAACTGGAGAGAAATATAAAAGTAACAGGTTTCTTTTTTCGAAAGAAACATTAAAAACACACTAGAGTTAACTGGGTAACAAATCTGGCAACCTAACAGGATGATCACAGAGTAAAGCAGTTTTTTATTGGAAATAAAAGGTTCAGGAATGCTCTAAAACTTCCAAGCTAGTACCACAAAAATCTAGAGAACACTAACCATTATAGCTACCATTGCCAAGGAAATAATATTACATTAAGGCTGGTTATAAAAATGGGCAGCTGGTGAGTTTTGATAGAAGGAAAAATGAAACAAAATGTAAAAAATATATAGTAAATACAGCCCGAATTCATTGAATTATCTTTTACATTTTCGAGTAAATTTTCTTACCTTATCACAGAAGTCAGTAAGAGCGGTAAAGTCCCATTTCTTGGTATAAGCAACATTGTATCTCAATATAGCCTCCTGGAAGAACACAGTAACACAAACGTACAAAAACAAAACAAAACAAAAAACACTTTAAAAAAACCCACTTGGAGAACACATACTGGAATCTAGTATATATTTTAAAGAGTTTGTGCAAAATAAAGTCATATTTTGCAATTACTTACTGATACTAAATTTTGCATAAACAATCTTGCCACTTAAATAAGCCAAATGCACTGCTTTTTACACTGAAATGTGCTGGCTGAAAGGTTTAAATAATGTTTTTGTTTTTCATCCAAAAAAGGTCATAATTATTATAATTACAGTTCATAACAAATATTTGCTAACAAAATTGAAATCAAGTGGCCTATTCAACTGCCATTTCAGTGCAAAGAAAATGTTTACGGTTACAAATCACAAACTAATTCAAATTAGTTATGGAAAGAGTAATGGAAGCTTTACAAGTTTCAGATTCAAATTTATTATGTATGGTAATTATTCAGTAAAATGAATAATGTTTGAAGTTGAAATCCTACACATTTAAAACTGTTATTTTACTTCCCTTTTGCTAGCACATTAAATAAAAAATTCTATTACCCATAGAAAAGTTCAAGAAATTAAATATAAGTGTCATCTACACAAAATGACTTTGCCTGGTCAATGATGCCTCACCTGCTAGTAATACTACAGATCCTTGGAAGGCATATGATAAACTTCAGTGAAGTTAAATCTTTTTTGAGGAAACACCACCATCTACTGGCAAAAGCTGTCAGTACACAACAGATTTGCTCTCTCAAGCCTGACCTGCAGACTTTATATAAGCAAAACAACCCCTTTGTAGCTGAATCACAACCATGACACAACCCCTTTGTAGTTGTAATCACAACCATGACACAGTTAAGCAGAACAACTAAAGAAAAAAAATAAGTTCAAGGACTACACAATCTTACTAAAATAATTCCAAGGAAAGCAATTTTAGTTCTTAATTTACAATACTCTGTGTGTGTATATTTGACTTTCTCTAACATTTTCTTTTTGTCTAATCTAACTCACTTTTTTTTTCTAGCAAAGAACCATGTTTTAGAACATCAATTTTACACTGCTTCAAGAAATCGGGCAGCTTCAAAACACAAGCTAGGAATTGTTGACACAAAATAATTCAATAGTTGATGTGTCATCCATGAAACAAAGAAAAAGAACATTTTCTTTAGTTATCATAGGGCATAAAGGCTTTTAATTTTTTTTAAAAGGTGTAAAGCCTTACCAGCAGCCTGAATTCTTGTGAAATAGAAAGAGAGGCAGGCAGTTGAAAAAAATTGATGTGGAAACTGGTTTTCTAAGTTCTCCATTTGCCCTGAGGCATGAAAGCACTGAGATGAGTTCCCCATACGGACAGTGATAAATTTGTTGCTAAAGTTGAGATAACTGAGGGACAGAAGAGAATGCTCATGCAGATTTGAACTGATCTTTCCACTAATCCGGTCCAAGGTATTTGGCTGGAGAATAGGGAAAAAAATTGATGTGGAAACTGGTTTTCTAAGTTCTCCATTTGCCCTGAGGCATGAAAGCACTGAGATGAGTTCCCCATACGGACAGTGATAAATTTGTTGCTAAAGTTGAGATAACTGAGGGACAGAAGAGAATGCTCATGCAGATTTGAACTGATCTTTCCACTAATCCGGTCCAAGGTATTTGGCTGGAGAATAGGTCATTCTGAGCTAGCCTTGAACACAGCAAAGGCCTAGCATGGCATTATCAGTCACAAAAGTGCAAACTGCCATATGTCACAGGAGTGACGACAGTTCCTTCTCGTATTCAAGGACTTGCCTGAATGGTTCATACTACACTTGACAAGGCTATAAACCCTTCTAAGGAAGCATAGGTCCTTGCTGTTGACAAATCCAAAGAAGCCCTTATATTCTTTCTAAGACTTAATGGGGATTTCTTTACATTTAGCTCAAAACCCATTTAGCTTAGAAAAGAGCAAGGACCAGTTGGATGGAAGACAGCACTGCTTCATAAGAAATGCCCTTGAGTAGCCAGTCATAAAGATACCTGAAGACCAGGATTTCCTACTGTTAGAAGTAGGCAACCACTACCACCAGGACCCTGGAGAACAGACTCCAGGTGGAGGCGAGACTGAAAGGAAACATTCTGTTTGCAAACTATCCAGACCTTTAGTAAATCGTAGATTTTTTTGAGTGAAGAGTATATTGTCATATGAAAACAGGCATCTTGCAGGTTAAGAGCTAAAACCCAATCCCCTTTTTCCAGTGAAGTAATTATAGTTGTCAGAATCACCATACTTAACTTCTTAGGCTTTACAAAATTGTTTAGTAGTCTTAGATCTAAAATATCAGTTTCCACCCTCCATCCTTCTTGCAGTACCTCAGGGTCATCATTACCAGCAGCAAATTATCACTGTAGATGTAGAGATGTGGGAGATAGTCCAATGAGTCAGTATACCCTGGAAGCTGCTTTTTTGAATAAATCCCTGATTTCAGCTTGCTTACTTGTCTTCTGTCTCTTTTGCATAAAAGTAGAGTGCAGAATATCCAACTGCATAACATACTGGGCAGTATACTGGTTCCAATTAACAGACTTGAGGGATATCAGAAATACTAATTAATTGATCTTTCTGGTAAATGGACTGCCAGAAAAGAGAGCTTTTTCCATATATTTTCCCAGTATCTTTATTTTATGCATTTGATAGTAAATTTTGCAGAAGGAGTTTTCCATTTCCCCTTACATAGTCACTTTCTTCTCTTGCTTATGTAGGTCCATCCCTCAGCACAGAAAAAAAGAAAAGAAAACCAGGATTGGCAAGGGCACTCCTAGACAAATATAGTACCTGAATCTACTCATAACTCATTTTAACATTAACTTCATTTGGAATTGTTGGCCTTACCTTCAAATCATGTGAGCTAGTGAACTTGTTAAGCAGTGCAGTCTGGATTAGCTCCCATCGGCTTCCAGCAGTCCTATCACCATTCTTTAAAAAAAATAATTTTTTAAAAAATTAACAAAGCAAAGAAAGCCAATAAAATCATATTCAAGCCAAAAAGCATGAAACAATGTTATATTCAGTGACATCAACTGTAGAGGGGAGAAAAGGAAAGAGGCACTATTGGTCTACTTTTAGGAAGAACTGTGCTTTGAGCAATTATGTGATTTACTAATTATTGTCTCAAATAACACTTCATTTTCTTTTAAAAATATTTTTAATTGGGGCATTTAAAAAAAAACTGTATAGAAAGATCTCTCCTTCATGCTCACCAGCCATAAATAACCCATAAATGGTCCATAATGCAGGCAATGGTTGATCAAAAGCATGATTAGAAGAGATCACTACTGGAGGGAGTTTAATAGCTGAAGTGTGATTGACTTCATCTTTTAAGTCTGCCTTTAGACCCAAAGGTTGGACATCCATGAACAGGTAGCAAAAGTGCCTCATTTGCTCTTAACTACCAAAATCGTTTAAACTGGTGACGACGAAGTCCCTAAGTGAGCCAAGGCCCAAATCACGTACAGCTTTACTGACTATAAACACTGTTAATCATACCCGGAATCAGAAGGGAAGACCATACAATTAACAAAAACTGATACTCTATTCACGTTATACTAAACAAAGAAAGGTGGTATGATCAAAGCAAATCAGAGAAAAAATTGCTAGTGGAGATTTAGAGCAGGGGTGGCCAACCCGCGGCTCGCGAGCAGCATGCAGCTCACGAAGAAAAAAAAACCTGCGGTTCCTGATGGAACCGGGACGGAACCCAGAACCGCTCAGGTCAGCCACTGTCACGGCCAGGCTGCTGTGAACCGCATGCATGCTCGTGGCCCCCAGTGCACTGCGTCATATCCTGCACATGCAGGCCAGGTCACACACAGAGTCCCAGCCTGCACGTGATAGCAGCCAGCTGCTCAGCACAGGCAGCAGCTCCAGGTGTGGTGGCAGCGACGGCTCCGAGACCTGGGCATAAGGTTAGTGGGGAAAGGGGATTGGGTTAGAGCAAGGAGGAGAGGTGTCTGGCTCTGGGGAAGAGGAGGGAGATTGAGGGTGTGTGTGCACAGCATGCTGGCTGCTCAGCGCATGCATCCCATTGCCTGGAGGGATATGTGCGGCTGTGGCCCAGGACCCTAATTCTGGGACCTGAGAATTAGGTTAGAACTGGGTGGAAGCGGATTGGTATACGGGGGGGGCAATGCCTGGCTCGGGGGGAGGGGAGTATTGGGTTAGGTGTGTGTGTGTGTGTGTGTGTGCCTGGCTCTGGGGAAGGGGAGGGGGATTGGGTTGGGAGGAGGTAGGTGTGTGTGCGTGCGCGCGTGTGTGCGTGCGCGCGTGTGTGCGTGCGCGCGTGTGCGCGTGCATCAGTAAGTATTGGCATTCCCTAATGCTGTGGTCACCAACCCGTAGATCGCAATCGACTCTTCAATCAGGTGGGGGCTCAACCAGTCGATTGCGAGGCATTTGCCTCCCCCCTTTTCGCCTTGCCCCCAAGAAGAAGCCCCTGCTGACACTACCTCCAGCAACAATGGAGGTAGTGCCAGCTTCCTGTGGGGTGGGAGGGAAGTCCCTCAGCTGCACACCACGTCTGGGGTTTCAGGAAGTGCATAGGTTGCTCTCCCCTCCCCCAAAACAGCCGGCGCATTTCCTGAAAGCCTAGGTCAGTCACACACTGGTGACTTCCTTCCCCTGTTGCCTTCCTGTGCAGGGAGGGGGAGAGTAGGAGTCCCAGGACCTTGCCAGCTCCAACTGCTCAGGAAGTGCACGGCTGCCATGGTGAGCGGAGAAGCAGGGCGCAAGTGCTTCCTGAGCAGTTGAAGCTGGCGCAGTCCCCCACCCCACATGCAGGAAAGCAGCAGGGGGAAGGAAATTGCCAGTGCGCAACAGACCTGGCTGTTCAGGAATCGTGCCCAGCTGTTTGGGGAGGAGGAAGCAGCGCACGTGCTTCCTGAGACCCAGACCTGGCACACAGCTGCAGGATCCCCAGATACTGACCCCAGCTGTCTCTGTCCCCTCCTCCTGGCCAGACCCCCCCCCCGAGTACCCTGCCCCAGCACCCTGTCCCTTTCCCCTACCAACACAGTTGTGGCCATGTCAGTGAGGCCTGAGGGTTTTTGGAGCGGTTGTTTTTTTGCATCTCACTTGTGTGGCCCCGACTGATTTTTCTGTGTGTCAGTGACCCCGACTCAAAACAAGTTTCCCGCTCCTCTCATAAAAAAAGACAATACTGAAACATTGTGTGTTTGACATAATATTTTATTTAAAAATGAAGCCAGGCCAATAAACCCCCATCTGGTCGCAGCATCATAACACTCCTGCACCCCTCCAAGGCCCCAAACCTGAGCCTATCATATACTGGAATACCCTGTTCTGAGCCTCTCACATCCCCAAACTCCTGCACCCCCACATCCCCCAGTCTTCTGCCACAATACTCCTGCACCATCCACACACTGCAAATCTGTGTCCTGAGCCCATCATACTCCCCGCCTAGACCCCAGCCCAAACTCCTGCACCCTCACAGCCACAAACCTGCGGCTTGCTCAACACCCCAGCCCACCACCTGACCCCAACACTCCAGCCTGGAGCACCCTCCCTGAGCCAGCATCCTCTTCTCTACTTCCTCCGGCACCCAAATTCCCTCCCAGAGCTTGCACACCTCACTCCTTCCCAGTGCTTTTTTGGAGAGCCACAATAGCAGGGGAGACAGTGTGAAGAGCTGGGGCAAAGTTGTTGAGCAGAAGAAAAAAAAAAAGCAGCCATGCCTTAGGATGGATGTACCAGCACCTATTTCCCCCCCTGCACGGTGCCTTACGCCCCCTCTCCCCAAACATCTTTGCCCCGGCTCTTCATGCTGTCTCCACTGCTATTGTGGCTCTTCATCTGGAATGGGTTTGCCACCCCTGATTTAGACCATCTGGAAAGAAAGGTGAGAAGAGAGAGGGTTATAATTAGCATGGTAAGAGATGATCAAGACTTGAACATGGGTTTCAGAAATGAGGATAAAGTGGGTTTTTCATGACAACATAATATGGCCAGTGTTCTAAAATCTACACCAAAAAAAAAGTCACTTTTCACACTCAGAATAGTAATTTAAAAATTCACATTTCAAACAAAGGGGTTTACAAAATCTCTTATTTTTGCACGTATTCAAATTAAGGCATATCATCTAAAAAGCTTAAAAGATACTGGGAAAAATTCCAGAGCTTACTCTACACAAACACAGGCAATTTTTAAGGATGGTAGGAGATTTCTTGACAAGACAGTTTACCTCTTCAGAGTCATGCTAATGGTCTTGCCTAAGTGGCACCATACAGTGTTCATGAATCCTTTTCCAATAAAGCATCAACTCACTAATTATTTTATTACTTTTCCAGCTTCATAAAAAAATACCACATAGCTGAGAAAGTCAAAAAAGTCTGTAGTCTGTTAAAGTATGTGGCAGCTGTCAAGAGGCAACAGAATTTGGTCTCCACAAGGGGACACAGGTCCATCTCTAAAAATGTTTACCTAAAACTAAAAAGTCTTTCAGTCACCTGTCTTCCAAGTGGTAATATGATACTCATGCCAAAAAAAATCTTTAATCTAGCAAAACTAAGCCATTTATGGGTTAGCCAGTAGCACATTAACGGAGGAAAAGAATATACACTTAAAAATTGTACATGATTAAGTTACAGTTTGTCATTCAATATTCAATCTCATTCTGCAAAAGCATAATGGTCACCTCCAACAGGATCAAGTCTCTTCTTTTTTCCATGCCCAATCTGCCCCTTACCCTTCTTCCCTACCACGTATAGCAGGGCTAATCAACTTTGGAAGCACCAGGGCCCGCAATGAAACTCACAGCACATGTCAAAGGCCAAGGCCACAAATTAAGTGTGGTTGCATATATATACAAATATATATGCAAATATATGCAAGCAGCTTATTCCACACTGAAGGGCATGAATACAAAGATTAAGGCAGACTACACAATATGCAGGCGCCATTTAAGTCAGTTCTGCCATTAATAAAATGCAATATTTACCCAATTTCCACCCATATGACATCACTTTGAAAGAGCGATGACAGTCCAGAAATTTCACTACTAAAGCACATATTAACAGAAGACCATTATATTGACTACGTTTTTGTTTTGGCTCCCACTCGCGGGCTGCACGTTGAGCCCTGTGTAAATCCAAACCACACTGCGGGCTGCAAACAAATGGGCCACGGGCCAAATGCATGTTGAATAGCGCTGTTGCATAGTGTTCATCACACAAATGACTACATGAATTATTGGCTGGTAGAAGTGCTCTCTTCTTTTGTATGAAGCTTAGCAACCAGACCAGATAAACCAGCATTCCGATTCAGTGTGGCAAACTGAGTATCTAAAACTATAGTAGAAGGCACAGTCATAGCTCCTCATAATATCACTCTGGTTTTTATTGCCCAAACTTTCTGTGGTATTTGTAAGGAAATATTTTGTTTCTTACCTCATCTTCTACAGGGTATAAATTTTGTTCTGAACAGGGCATTTTAACATGCTTATTGTCCCACAAATCTTTATAATGAGTTGGAAAAGGTTTGGGCACCTCTCCTTCCCTCAACAGATCTACCTGCAACAGAGAATAGAAAGGAAATTCATGCTGTGCAAAGTGCTTGTGAAAGCTATATAAACAATAAACAGAAATCCTTTAAGTAGTGAGCCAAATTTTGGCCGCAGATCCTTTTTCACACATTCCAGCAAGCTTAATGCCATTTGTATCCAAACATCTAAGAGCAAGCATTGGCCCATATTATATACTCTTAGACTTAACTACATACATGCCTATGTAATACTGCTCTTGCCTAGACTGTCTGAGGAAGGAACTCAGGATCTCTGGGTCTAAGAGTACAGGCTTGAGCTAAAATACCTGGTCAACTAGGCCAACAGTAGTGGTCTCAAACTTCTGTACGCAATCTAGCCACCAGAAAGGGTCGAAAAGCGCACTGTGCTGGTGAGGGTTACACTTGATTTCAGTGTAAGGACTTATTTTGGTAGAGTAGACACTTTCATTCTAAGATAGTAGTTTTCAAGGTATTTATATAATATTTTCTGAAGCGGTTTCACTTTGGGCTATAGGAGTATACTTCCCCGTTTAAGAGACAAACTGGAGTCTACAACCAAGACAACCAGGGTGTAATAAAAGAGGCCCCCTACCTATCTCAGGGAATGGCAATTTAAACAGGAACACGAAGATGAGCAGGAAGAATGGATCTAGAAATCAGACCTTCTGCAAAGGACAAGAGTCTCGCTCACACCCTAGGGGGCCATTCCATCCAGAAGATTTCTTTGTAGACTTTTAGCTTGGGAATTCTGAAACGGACTTCAGGTAAAGGCCTATGAATTGCTGTTACAAATGCTCCTTTCCTAAGACAATACTAAAGGGGCGTATACATATGCTGTTTCAGCTAACCTTTGCCTAGATTCTTCAGGGTGTATCTAGACTACTGAGGTTTTTTTTTTTTTTTTTTTGAAAAAGTGGCCTTTTTTCAAAAAAAAAATAAAAAATTCATCTGCATCTAGACTGCCACCGTGTTTTTGAAATTAAATCGAAAGAACATGGCAGTTTTTTCGACATTGTTAAACCTACTTTTACCAGGAAGAACATCTTTTTTCAAAAGTGTGTTAAAAAATGCCTTTTTTTCGAAAGAGCAAACGGGACTTTTTTGAAAGAGAGCATCCAGATTGCCTGGGTGCTCTCTTTCTCAAAAGTGGATCTCTTTTTCAAAACCCTTGTGGCTGTCTAGACAATCTCTTTCGAAAGAGGCTTGTAGTCTAGACGTACCCTCATAGTGGACTCACTGGTGGACTCAGTCGAAAACACTAAGGCAGAGTGTATCTGCCGCATATATCCAGGCACAAAAGCAGCAAACAGGGAAAGCACACATTTTTACACACATTTTTACTCATTTTTACACACAGCCCAAAACTGGATTTCTTTAAAAAAAATTATAATTTTATTTGGCATCTTTTGAACCATTAGAATACATAAAATTATCATCATACTTTTATAAAATGTGTTATATGCTGTTCTGCTTTCTACTAACTCAACATGGATAGGTGTTTTTTTTTAAACTCCAGACATAACACATTCATAATTCTCAATGCTGATATTACTGGATGAGGTTCTGTGGCCTGTTATGCTGGATGTCAGAGTATGGGACTGTAATGGTTCCTTCTAGACTAACATTCTATGAAAATAAAGTGTGATCATTTGAACTTTTAGTGCACTATGAAATAAATATAATACATGCAATCATTTTAAAGGTCCCCCCCCAACCCAAAAAGATTAAAAAACACCCTCAAATCTATTCTAAGCCATTATGGCTGGAAATTTACAAAAAAGTCAGATAATTATGGTTCCAAATAAAGCCATAATTATGTGCGTGAATAACACTATTATTGCACATAGTAATGACTAGTTGTGGATGCAATGGGAACACACCTTTAAAATGCCTGACTTTTAGATAGTAAATTCTGTTTATATTGCTTTAACAGTTCAATACCACATGCCTTTTAAGCAACACGTAAGTTCAATAAATATGAGTGTACTGAGAATTAATGCAATTTTTAGATGCACTTTTGTTACATGCTGCCAGTTTTTTTATCATATATTTCACATTAACAATTATTTTACTGTGTATTACTTGGAAGAGACAAACACGTGCCAGGATTAGTATGGGATGCAAGGCTAAAATTCCTTCGGACTCCTCTTTACTAATTCCCTTATCTTTTACATGTTGATTCCAAAATGGAGAATTTTGAAAACAGAAAACATTGACAAATTCTGACTACAGCTATAACATACTGCAGCTCCCAAAACTCAGAAGTCAAATGGGAAGGCACAAACCTATCAAGAAAAGTTTGTTAAATAAGCAGCAGAATCAAAATCTTAATATTATTTCTGGATCATATTCAGCCAAACTATAAGACCTCTGTATCACAGAAGGCGAGTTGTTTTTCTGCATATTGGATACTTTAGTTAGCTTTCCATGGAAAGTCAAAAGTTTCCACAACCAAGTAAGGCTGCAAAACTAATAAATGGCAGCATCAATCTTATGCCATCTAACATCAATTTAATAATACAGTTGTGTTTTCAAATAATATTCTGAATTATCATACTCTGATGGTCACTGTATGATTGGTTGATGGTCTCAAATGAGGAAGATGAGCCCCACAAATAGGCATTCTCCTCATCTCTTCAATAGGTGTCCCAAACCATTTCTTATTACTTGGAAGTGAAGGTGGGATATATTTAGGAATCTTCCTTCCTGGCCTTTGGTATCTGAATTCACATGATTCTTTCCTGCTGTTTAAAACAAAAAGATGAAGCACATCTTATTTACTATGAAAATATACATGCTTAGCTGTAGAGTTTAATATTAGGTTTCAAACTAAATTTGTCACTTAAGCAGTTTTCTTTCTAAAATCCTTTTTAAATGCATCCAAAGCACAGCAAAAAAATGAATCCAGAAACACTTCATTTTCAGCAACATGCATAATTTCCGTGGAGTTTTATTGCATGCTCAACAGCAGAAAAGCCATCCTCAAAACTGCTCCAAATATCGTAACTTTAATATACAACCAAAATACTGTCTGAATGCTCTCCAAAAAAGTTTATCAAGGCAGAGGCTCGGACAGCATTCAAACAGAAGTAGAGCTGAGTATTTTCAAGTGCTTGAGCATTCACAGTTGCTATTAAAGTTTATGGGATCTGGAAATGCTTTTACATTTCAAAATCCAACTTTGCCTTCCCCTTACGTAGTCATTTACAGGTAACGAGTCACATCCATTTTGCACATGCATAAATGACTACACAAGATATAGGGCAATGGTGAACTGAGCCTAACACACAAGCAAAGATTATGGAAACAAGCCCAAATTTTGTTTAGTTACACTGGCATTACTTCAGACTTCCACAGTTAATTTAGAGCAATAATTTGACTATTTCTTGAAGATGGCTGGGGTTAAACTAACCAAAGAGCCTCCAGAAACCAGACTGGTTTTGGTGATCAGTTCATTATTTATTAATTCAATTCCCAGAAGTCTGTCTGATGCCCAACGGATGCAAGAGACAGACTCATAAAGCTTTGTTTTAATCTACATTTACTAATATTATGCTATAATAAATATGTACAATATGTACATTAATTTATGTAGAAATTCCCCTTGTGCAAGACTCATTTGTTATGGTAATCTCTGCCAGGCTATACACTGAAACACAGACTATGCAGAGGTCTCTGTGCTAATATAGTTCATATAAAACCAACAATTGTAATAGGTGGGAGGCAATTTATTCCATGTTCTCATTCATTACCAGCCACTGAGGCTAAAAAAATTCCAATTTGAACTTTCTTCAGAAGTAAAAAGATCACCATAATAATTTTGACCAACTATATTACTAATTTCTTCTGTTAAACTACACCTTACAAAATTGTCACACATCCATTCTTCAGGTGGAATTTGATTAACTAGTAACTTGGACCAAAGGCTATAGAAATTGCAGAAGTTTGAGAAACCCCTAACAATAAGGATATGTCTACACTGAGAGGAACCATAAAACAGAAGCTGTGACTCAACTTTAAGTATAATATATACCATGAGGTACACTATAATAAAAGTACACACACATAATTGTTAGATACATACTAAAGAGCCAAATTAGAAAGCAAAGTCTTCAATTATATTACTCAGTAATATGTCAGTAGATGCCAGGTATTCTGTTTCCACAGAATAGACATAGCATACAATACTTTAGTAAAGCAAGGTTACTATTGCTTAAAAAAAATTAAGACCAACGTCATTAAAAACTTACATTTCTACTTTCACTAAGGATGTTAAAGAGCAGTTGTCTGGCTAATTGTGTAGTCGATACAATTTGTGTTGACTATGCAATTAGTCGATACGGGAGACAGCTCTACAAAGCTGCAACGGGGGTTACACCAGACTGCTATCCCTCTGCATTTTAAATGTAGTAAGAACCACTGGGCTCTTGCCACATTTCAAATGCAGGGCCGCAGTGCGGGTAGCTCCTGGAGCCAGTGAGAGCCAGGACTGAGTCCTGCCACCCACTCTGCATTTTAAATATAGTAATAGCCCAGGAGCTCTTACCATGTTTAAAATGCAGAGGTGCAGCGCTCCCAGACTGGCAGAAGCCCACAGTGCTCGGTCCTGGCTTGCACCAGATCCAGCAGACCCTGTTCACAGTAGCCCGAGCAGGCCACAGACAGGGGCTGCTCTGGCAACAGCCCCTGTTTGCGGCGGCCAAGGCTGGGCTTCATGACTCTGTCTCTTGCATCTTCAGCTACTGTTGGAGCAACCCCTGTTCATGGAAGCTGGGGCTGGCCGTGGCTGCTTCGCAGCAGCCTCCCCTATCTCCACCCTGCTGCCTCCGATAGAGGCGGGGGGGGGGAGGCCAAGTGGCACCGCAGAGATGGTGCTAGGGCAGCCAGCACCACCAGTACTCCTGTTCTCCCTCCTTGCTGTTTCTCATACAGAGACAGCAAATAGTCAAGTACTCGACTACCTGATAAATTTAAGTTTATCGGATTGTCGAGTACTCAGCTACTTGCTTACATCCTTAATTTGCACAAATGTTTTTTTACCAGCTGCTGCTCTTCGCTTTTGAGAGCTGATATAGCTTAATATCTAGCTTTATAGAATGTGTCATATAATCAAAAAACACCTCTTTGAACACAAATCGCTAGTCGGTCCTCTTTGTCCTCTTTTCAGAGTTGCTCAGAATTTACAGTGCTGAAACTGAAATCAAATCTGGCCCAAACTCACTGTCCTCTTTCATGTATTTTAACCAAAAGGTTTTGTACACTGTGTTGAAAGGATCTGTTCTTCTCTTAACTCCACTAGTGTCAATGGGATTTACCTACACGTGTAAAGGAGAAACAGACTCTTCAGAAGTTCAGCATTTTCAATGGACTTCCAGCTTTTCAAGTCTGTTGTCAGTGCAAGGTACACACTGGATTAACAGAACATTTGTGACACAGTCCTGCACAATGCAAACTCACAGATCAAGTGTTTACTTTGTTTTCTATTTCCTTCTTAGTTTTTCAGTTCTACAGTAAAACTCCAATTGCCCGGCGTCCAGTGGTCCGGTACTCCTGATAGTCTGGCACCAACTGGAACCCGGAAGTGCTCCGGCCAGCTGGACATTTGGAGTTGCTCCGTGCAGCTTCCCCAAGTCTTCTGCTGCTGCTGAAACTGACCAGCTGAAGATTTGGGGAAACAACACACAGCAGAGCAGCGAGGGTGCTGCCGGGTTGGTCCCACAGCGCCGCCCCTCACCCCCCTGCTTGGCGCCCAGCAGCACCCCCGCTGCTGCCGCTGCTGAAACTGACGAGTGGCGGACTTGGGGAAGCCCTGGGGCAGAGCATCTGGGGGGCTGCCGGGTTGGTCCCACAGCGCCGCCCCTCACCCCCCTGCTTGGCGCCCAGCAGCACCCCCGCTGCTGCCGCTGCTGAAACTGACGAGTGGCGGACTTGGGGAAGCCCTGGGGCAGAGCATCTGGGGGGCTGCCGGGTTGGTCCCACAGCGCCGCCCCTCACCCCCCTGCTTGGCGCCCAGCAGCACCCCCGCTGCTGCCGCTGCTGAAACTGACGAGTGGCGGACTTGGGGAAGCCCTGGGGCAGAGCATCTGGGGTACTGCCGGGTTGGTCCCGTGGCACCGCCTCCCCCAAGCACCCGGTTGTGCACTCTTTGTGGCAGCTTTTGTTTTTGCTGTATTTTTATAGCACTTAACACAATGGGGTCCTGAGCCCTGACTAGGACTCCTGCCCTTTATGGTAATACAAACAAAAATAATAGCAAGGGTCATCCTCACCAGTTTCCCATTTACAGCCTCTCTCGGACTTACGAACCGGTTATGGACCAAGCAACTGGTCGTAACTCGGTTTGTTCATAAGTCAGACCCCACAGAGTTACACGCGACCGCGCTGTTTGTAAGCGCAGATCACGTTCGTAACTTGGGGTCCGCCATTTACAACAGCTTCGGTTGTAACTGCGAACGGTCGTAAATCCACTGTTCGCAACTCGGGAACCACCTGTATTTATATATTTCCCAAAGTTTTCTGGGCTGAAATTTTCTTGGACTCAACTCAAAAGTCACTATTTTGGGAAGTTTGAGCAAAACTAAGTCAGGCTTGTTTATTTTTAACTAAATAATGTAAGCACTAGGGGAAAACAAACCCAACTCCCACAAACTGTATTCTGACTGAATTTTGTAGCTTCCGCCTTCTTTGCATTAGAAAAATACACATACAAAAGTCTAGCATTGTTTAATATTATCACTGAGAAAGGAAAAAATTGAAGTTTGAAGGAAATCATCTTGATCAGTGGCTTAAATTCTTTACCAAGACACCTCAAAAAATAGATTATTAGTGTATTTACAAATTGGTCCACATGATCTTTTAAAAAGCTACTAAAAATTGTTTTAGATTATGCCATAAAAAAGTAGGCCAAATTAATCCTTGCTATAACTGTACTGACTTCAATAGGAATTTAATTTGGTCCTATGATCATACTAATGTTTGAGGAAAAAAATTAACATTCAGAAGTCATTCCACAATTCACAGTACTAGTCTGCCAAGATATATCACAAGAAAATATTTACCTCTTTATTTTAGAAGGACCCTGCTATTACAGTTACTAAACAACGGGTAATAAAGCAATTCTTTGTCAAAGCTGTCCTATGCCATTGTTTGTTTCCATGTATTAAAAGACAATTATTCTATCCAATTTCTTTTACAAGATACACTGAGAAGTACTTCATATTACTCTGGCATTTGAAGGTCAGTATTAATTCCTGACATTAATATTTATTTGGTGGTACAGAAATGGCACAAAACAAGCAGTTATTTTGTAACCTTGAAAAAAAGTTATATAAATAAACACTTAACTCATCTGCTGTTTTTAAAGAATGGTTTCTCCACTTTTATGTAGCATTTGGGAAAATGCTTACAAGACAAACATTTATTGTGCTATTACTGAAGACAAATATATTTAAGAGGGAAAGAAGGAAGAGGACAAATGAAGTTTACCTTTTTTCTTCTGTTCTGGGTATCCTCATGAAATGGGAAGTAATTTTAGAGTCCTTTTTCCCACACTGTTTTGCACTTTTGCAATCTGATGAAAGAGCAGGAAAGATCTCAGATGACTTTGTATATAATTCATCCTCTTTCACAGAGTCATCTGTCCCCTCAAAATGGAGGTTATATCGAGCACCTTCACAACATTTGGAGGAAAATGGTGATCCTCTCATCTCCAGTTCAGCATTCCCCAGCTGAAACCTGGAAGATTTGCTTGCAGCTTTTGATGTGTCAACATCCTCTTGCTCATCAAAAAATTGAATTGTTTCTTCATCAGCCTCTGTGCCCTGGCAGATATATTTGGAATTATCCACATCCATTGGTGACTCAGGTTCACTTTCTTTCTCAAAAGCATGTGACTCTCCTGAATTACTTTGATATTTATTCAGTTTTCCTGGACCTCCAATATCAGATATACAGGCATCACCACAAGCATCTGAAAGTGGGCTTTCTGGAACTATATCCACCACATCCTGTTCACTAGTCACGCCAACTACAGGACTGCAGCTCTTTAGCTGTTGTGGATTACATGAAGTCACTTTTTCTTCTGTTTCATTGTCTTTTGATGTAGATTTTGTATTTACCATCTTCACAGACCTGCCTGATGATAATTTCCTGTGAGCCCAAATCTCACTATTTTGTTCACTACCTCTGTGAACCTGCTTGCCAGTTTTGTGCATTTGATCAGTGTTGGCATTTTTAAATTGATCTCCAGTACGGATCCCTTTAACAGGCTCTGTGGCTGATGGATGATCTCTACGTGGTCCCTCTGCTTCCCGTTTACACAGGCTGCCACTCTGTGGCAGATTTACATGGTTTGTATTCGTTTCCACAGATATTCTTGGATAGCTTTGTGGACAAATACTCTCTAGCTTTTTAACATCATGTTCACACAAGTTATCCTTTTTAACAGAAGTCATCTTGAGATCTGCCCCCGTATTATTAGTTTTATTCTGCAAACTGTGGAAGAAAAATTTAAAAAGCTAGGTTTAACTGATTCTTGCCAAATAAAATTCTTGTTTGTAGATTTAAAGGCTAGAGGGACTACTACAATGATGTAAAACAGGTCATCGAATTTCACCCCAACAACACCAGCAGTATTATATCAAGCAGCTTATATCAAGCCCAGTAACCTTCTATTTGTTGTGTTTTAAGTTTAGGCAAACCAAAGTACATCTTTTAGAAAGATAACATGTCTCCCTTTAAAGGCTACAAGTGAGATAAATTAGTTACTTCTCTCAGTCATCTGTTCCGCTGGTTGATGACACTCTCAGGTAAAATGTCATATCTTATTTTTAATTAAATTTTTCTGCCTTCGCTTTCTAGCCACTGAATCTTGTTGTGCCTTTTCTGCCATCTTAAAGACCCTTCTAAATGAGATTTCTTTTCCCTCAGTATAGGTAATCTGAGGCCATGATTATCACAAACAAGGTTTAGAAATGAGCTAATCTAAATACACTATTATTTAACTAGTTCAATTTAAGCCATGTTTCCCAGACTTCAAATAGTTTTTGTAGCTTTTCTCTGATCACTCTGCAATTTTTCTACATATACATGTGGACACTAGAACCGGACATAAAAATCCAATTGCTATCTCACCAATTTCTAGACCCATGCGTAGATACAAAATTTGTATCCGTATCCACAAAAATAACATGTGGATAACCACCACTAAAAAGTGGATATCCGCAAATTTGTAGGGTACTAAATACAAAATTTGTATCTGCAAAAATGAGCTGTTGATATTCAAATATATGGATACAGATACCCACAGATCTGCAGGGCTCTACCCATTTTATATATATCCTATTCAACATATATCCAGTTTATACATTTATGTACGATTCTTGATACAGTGGTCTGAACCACTCTGAAGTTTAATGAAAAGTGATATTTATTAAATCTGTTATTATTTTACAGTTGAAAGTTCTTCAGGTAAATTCTAGACTAAATGTTACACTAAACGTGTACAAAGGTATGATCTACTGGTTAAGTAACAGGCCTGTAAATCAAAAGATCTAGTTTATCAACATGCACCCAGGCAGCTTTGGGAAAGTCAATTCACTTTTGTGTGTCTACATCTGCTCATCTGTAAACCTCTATAAAATATAAAACAGCCCCCTCAATAAGTGAAAACATTCTGCTATTCTTAGAGCAAGTGTGGGCAATAATTTTTGATGGCGGGCCCACTTCAAAAATTTAGTAAGTGGTCAAAGGCCACATGCACTGTTCAATGACATTAATAGAGACGGTACAGGGTCTGGGAAGGAGGTTAGGTACAGAACCATTTCCCTCTCCCAGCTTGCCAGGAAATATTTTTAGCAGGCTGGCCAGCAGCCTTATTCAGTTCCCGCTTGCAAGGCACTCAGGGTAGGTGACTGGGGTGCAGGAGGGAGTGTGGGGTTGGAGAAGGGGTAGCAGTAGGGGTACAAGAGAGGATTCTGACCTGGAGGAAGGGTGTACAAGGGGGATGCAGGGTCTCAAAGTGGATTCTGAACTGGTGCAGGAGGGGGTGCAGTGATTTGGGTTGTGACCTAGGGTAGGGGATTGGGATGCCAGGTCTGGGAGAGGGAATAGGTGAAGGAGCAGTGTACAGAGGGTTTGGGTTACATGAGACAGGGCTGCAGGAGAGGGGAGAAAGGAACTGAGGACTAGAAGGAGGGAAGGGCTGGGGTGCCAGAGGCAAGCTATGGCCAGGAGGCACTTACCTAGGCAGCTCCTGGCCAGCAGCCCAGCAGATCCCTCAGGCAGGCTCCCTACTTACCACACCCCCGAATGCTGCTCAAAGTGGCCAGCTGCAGGGTCCATGTGCTGCTCTGAGCGGGGGGTGAGGCGGGGTTGTAATTTGTGTGCTGCCTACCCTCAAACAGACAGCTCCCACTGGCTGGTTTCCAAACTGTGAGACTGTGCTGGGGGCAGGGCAGCACACAAAGCCTTTCCCCACCATTCCCTGGCTTGTGGCAGTGCTCAAGCCTTGCAGCCTGCTGCTTTGAGCAGTATGTGGGAGCAGGCCAGGCCTGGAGCCTTCCCAAAGCTCCCGCTGGGCAATGGACCCAGTATCTTAAAGGATACTATGGATGAATAAACTGATTACTTGTTGTGTACTACGAACTGAAAAATGCAAATTAATAGGATAAATGGGCTACTACTCAAGACCTGACACTGAAAGCACAGAAACTACAAGAACACTAGCTATAACTAAAATAAGAAAATAGTTTGGTGGCTTTCACCTTACAATATTTACATTCATCTCCATTAATCAATATACTTAGATCAGTTTCTCTACTCATTGATATTTCTGATATTAGAGTTTACTTCTCAAAAAATGGTAACTTAAAATATTAAAATGACACTGTCAACTTTTTTAAAAAAAAAGACCTATCTAATTTTTAATATACTATTGCTGTAAGTAACACCTGTGCTGACTATAGCTAAAAGAGACTAGTGGGGAAAAAACGCTTACTCACATTTTATAATTGTTGATCTTTGAGTTGTGTTGTTCATATCTATTCTAATTAAGTGTGTGCAACATTTTGGCAAATTTTATTCCAGCGCCTACCCCATCGGGTCCACTATGGAGCCCCCTGGAGTGGAGCCATTGCGGTGCTCTACTTATGATGATGCTGACCCATCTGCCCCTCGGTTCCTTTTAGCCATCTACTCAGACGGAGGATGAGGGATGGGTATGGAAAGAGTCGGTCCTGGGAATGATTTTGTTCAATATCTTCATTAATGATCTGGATAGTGGGATGGATTGCACCCTCAGTGGATGACACTAAGCTGGGGGGAGAGGCAGATACTAGGGATGTGAAGGTTAACTGGTGGGACTCCAGCAGCTCCTGTGGACACTGGAGCAGCCCCTGCCTCTGGGGTGCCCTGGTCCACCACAGATAGCAGCTACTCCAACCCTGTGGGGGAGCCCACCATCGGCTTGCCACACTGGAGACAGCACCAAGCTTGGCTTAAGGTAAGCTGACTCCAGCTATGTATTTTGCATAGCTGGAGATGCGTACCATAAGCTGACTTTCCAGTTCTAAGGTAGTCCTGGCTTTAAATAAACAGAAAGAGAGCTCAATACACTAAGGACACTGGGGCAAGTGGGCCACAGTTTCAACAAGCATCACCGGCGGTAAGAAGGAACTGAGGAGCAGTCAACTTGGCACGGTCGTATATAGTTTTGCACTAGCGCCACTGCAGGTGACTCCACAGGATACCCAACAGGTAGGCACTAGGATGGGGGTGGGCAAAAGGGCCTCCGCAGGCCGAATCCAACCCATGGAGGCCCTACCGCTCCCCCGCCCCCAGGCCAATAGGGCCTGAGGGCAGGGGGAAGCACAAAGTTTCCTCTGCCCTGACAGGAACATGCAGTGCTCAGAAGCACCACATGCTCCTGGCAGGGCAGAAGGAGACTTCATGGCGCTCCCCTGCCTCCAGGCCAATCAGACCTTGGGTTGGGGGGAGTGTGTGAAGTTTCCTCCACCCTGCAAGCGCTCCCCTGCCTCCAGGCCAATCAGACCTTGGGTTGGGGGGAGTGTGTGAAGTTTCCTCCACCCTGCAAGGAGCGCACAGGGCTTAGAAGCGCTCCTGACAGGGCAAGGGAAGATTTTGCACACTCCCCCACCCCCAAGCCCTGATTGGCCTGAGAGCAGAAGGGGGCAAGCACAAAGTCTGCTCCCACCACCAGGGGCCTGGGCACCTAGGGGGAACCTCTGGGGGAGGGGCGGCATAAAGTTCACATGCTCCTGCACCCCAAGACGCATCATGGTCTGCGGGTGGGGAAGCAGGGAAGTATACTGGCCTCATCCCTTCCACTTGATGCCATGCCCTTTCCAATGTGGCCTGGAGACACTTCAAGAATTTCAAATGTGGCCCCTGGCAAAAAGTTATTGACCACCCCTGCACTAGGGTAAAACCTTCTGACAGCCATGCACGTGGCACACACACTAGGGATGTAATAGTATAGTCGATTAACCAATAAGCAAAAGCTTATAGGTTAATTCTATAGACTACACCCATTTCCCTCTCACAGCTTGCCAGGAAATATTTTTAGCAGGCTGGCCAGCCGCCTGGCTCAGTCCTGGCTTGTGATAGGGTCAGGACCTATCCCCGCTGTGGCTCTGCATTTAATGTGTGTTAGGAGCTGGGTGAGCAGGCAGCACGGCTCAGACCTGGCTCATGCTATGTCCAGGACTTACCATTGCGGCTCTGCATTTAAAGTGTATTAGGAGCTAGGTGGGCAGGCAGGCCGACTCAGTTCCAGCTTGCACCAGATTCAGGACTTCAGACCGCCCCCAGACAGGGACTGCTGCCACCCCACACTGCTGCCTCTTTATCAGAGGCAGCAACAAAGGGCAACAGGCAGCTGGCCCATGACAGGAGCTGGTTTTAGCACGGCTCAGACCTGGCTCATGCTATGTCCAGGACTTACCATTGCGGCTCTGCATTTAAAGTGTATTAGGAGCTAGGTGGGCAGGCAGGCCGACTCAGTTCCAGCTTGCACCAGATTCAGGACTTCAGACCGCCCCCAGACAGGGACTGCTGCCACCCCACACTGCTGCCTCTTTATCAGAGGCAGCAACAAAGGGCAACAGGCAGCTGGCCCATGACAGGAGCTGTTTTTTAAACTGGCTTCCTTCGCGGACCAGCTCCAGCCTGCCAGACTGCACTGCTGCCTCTGATACAGAAGCTGCAGCGCGGAGTGGCAGGGGGCTCCTCAGGAGTGGAGGCAGACCACACTGGCTGCCAGTCCTGCCCCCTGGGACTGTAGAATAGTCAACTAACCAATAAGAATTCCTGAGGTTATACAACTATTCAATTAACTGATATTTAACATCCCTACCATACACCTCTACAGCCTCTCTCTGAGTTACAAACGAGTTATGGACCAAACATTTGGCCGTAACTCGATCTGTTCGTAACTCAGACCCCACTGAGTTACACGCAACCACGCTGTTTGTAAGTGCGGGTTGTGTTCGTAACTCGGGGACCGCCTTTACGACCGCTCCATGGGAGCTTTGGTCGTAAGTGTGAACGGTCATAACTCGACCGTTCGCAACTTGGGGAGTGGCTGTAATTGGAATTGATATGAGCAAGCATTCGAAAAAAAAACTTTTTGGTTTTGTACATGTGAAAGCAAATGTCACAGGTTTTACTGCAGAGAACGTCAGAACCCCATTCTGCAAGCTACTCCATGTGGGTACAGAATTCTACCTGCGTAGAACTGCTTGCAGAAACTCAATTTTCCCTCTTTGTGCAAGCCTTTACAATAGCAGGAGTCAGAACACAGGGATGAAGGGGAGGAGGTGACATCTGATTAAAAGACATAAAAATTGGGGGGGTCTATGGAGTAGGCATATGTACCATTCACAACTTTCACATTTTTTAAGTTTCAAGTTCACCATGTCCCTTTAAAGACCTTACGTAAGAGCCACAGCTAGAAAGGGAATTTGTAATAGACTCTCATTCCATCCTTAAATCACCTTTTTGTGTCACGTATTTCACTACATATGGTGCAAGAAATTACACAGCCATCTGAGGCCCTGTAATATCCATGAATAAAGAGCACCACTTAATCAGTCACTTGAACAGAATTTCCTTGATTTTGTTGGTTATTTTATCACCATGACTGTCACAATTATTTTATAACTGTGAAAGATAAATCTATTGACATAATGATCAGAATGGAAAAGTTACTACTTTCTGTTGAGAAGATATTGCCGGATATTACTTTATACCAGACACCACATAAATTAAACCTACATGGGTTCAGTTATGTATTGGGTAGTATTGTTAATAGCTTGTATCAGCAGAAGGATGAAGATGGCACATCAAGTTTACCTTTATTTGACACTACTGTAACAGCGATACTGTTACACCAACTTATGAATGCAAGATTGACCATTAATACTCAGCAAAGAGAACATGCTTCAAATGAAGGGTGGACAATAATTTTTGATGAGTGGATCCATTCCCAGATTTTAGTAAGTGGTCAAGGGCCGCACTTTTCAATGAGGAGCTGTGGGTTCTGGGAAGGAGATTAGGTGCAAAAAGGAGCTTAGAGTTGGGGACTGGGGTCTGAATGGGAGATTGGGTGAAGGGATATGACAGATCTGGGGCAGGGGACTAGATTCAGGGTCCTGGAGGAGGAGGTATGCGCGCAGGAGAGGAGTTTGGCCTGGGATAGGAGTATTGGAGGGGGTACAGGTCTGGAAGGGATTTATCACCTGGGGCAGGAGGGAAGGTGGGTACAGAGGGTTTGGGTGATGACGTGAAGCCAGGATTTGGGGTTCAAGGTCAGGGATACAGTATAGATGCAGGAGAAGATTCTGGCCAGGGGGGAGTGGGTACAGAGTCTGGGAGGGAGGTGTGACCTGGGGGAGGGGAGGTGCAGCAGGTTTGGGTGGTGACCTAGAGCAGGAAGGGCTGGTGACCTGCAGCAGGTCATTAGGGTGCAGTAGGGGTTGGAGTGCCAAAGTCAGGCTCAGGCCATTAGGTACTTACTGAGGCATCTCACGGTCAATAGCCCAGCAGGACCGTTAGGCAAGCTCCCTGCCTGCTGCAGCCCAAGCAGCTGGCTTCTCACTCCATTTCCGGCCAATGGGGGCTGAGAGATTGTGTTGGGGGCAGAGACAGCATGTGAAACCTGCCCGCTGGAGGTGGCACACAGAGGCAAATAGGCAGTGTGGTGCTGCTCTCTGCCTGAGGGTCCAGTGGGGCGGGCAGGAGGCCGGATTCAAAGGCTTGGTGGGCCAGATCTTGCCTGTCCCTGCTCCAAAGTAAACCCAGGTGGGAACAGATACAACTCAGTCACAATCAAAGGAGATGCGACCACCTTACATCAGAACTGAATATGATCCTACAAACTGTGGGTACAGCAAAAATATTTTCTGAAAACAAGATTACCTCCAGATCTTTGACTTATTAATATTACACCAAAATGAAAGTAGAAACATCTCTCAAATAGTCCTATTTCTATTCCAAAATAAAATGATTGCATAAGCAAGCAACAATAAACCTTTGGACTAAAATCCACTGTAGAGATAATTACATTAATTGTTCCATTTAAAAAAAAAAATCTTTCAGGTAGTTTATAATACACTTTTACCTCTTTAAGTCTGTAGTCTTGGGTCCTTTATTCTCCATCCAAGATGTAATTGTCCTTTGTTTGTAAACTGAAAAACCATAGCACAAATATTACAACACACATTGCAATATTGCCAAAAATATGACATTTACATTTTATATTAGCCACATGTAAAATATCTAAATTAAGTTTTCATTACTATAATTGTGTCAGATATTATCCTGACTAATGAGGTAATATTATATCACATGTAGATTTAACATCTCCAATAAACTCTTATAGTCCTTGTCAACTTCAAGCTTGCTTTTTGGATATCATCACAGGTTTCTTCCCCTTCCTCTCCACCACAGGATAATAATCTGCACAGCATAGCTAGTGCATTGGCTACTGAGTAATTGGCTGGACCTAATGGAATGGGTTGGAAAATTACCATACCAATTCTGCTGCTCTTGATGTATTCACTTCTCAAACCTGAAAATTAGATTCTTCTTTTTATCTTTAGCTATTGGTATCAACATACTCCTTTAGTAAGCGGAAAAGGCTTACTGTGGTCTTTACATGGCAAAATGAAGATAGTCAATCTTGCTTTTCTAACTGCTGCCACTGCTCCAAATAAAACTGTATTATTGATCAGTGGCTAGGTGGGGGCTACACTTGAAATTACAATAGCATAGCTGTTGGTCAAGGGTGGGGAAAAAACCCATATAGCTTTGGCCTAGAAAATTATATAGTAGCTATAGAGAGAGAGGAATTTCTAACAACATAACTAACAGTGCTAAGGGAGGCCTAGGCAACCAGGAAATCCTTTTTAGTCAGTGCAAGCTGCTTCTACTATATGGGGCTGTGCTGACACAGTCTACATTCTGCACATATATCCGCAAATAGTGAACAAAACCAGACTCATTCTAGCAATTGAACTTGCAGAGTGCATATGGAAGGGGAAGAAGGTAAGGAGGGGTGGAACAAAATCCTCAACAACCTCACTAAGCAGAACTTTCCTTACTCTTCATTCAATTGTAGTATCATAACAGACCATATGTAGTACCTGGCCGATAAAGCCAATTTGTGCACAGTGTGTAATGAAACATGGGCCTTGTAAAAATTAAGGTATTAAAATTGACCAAGAGAAGATTTAATTTATGCACCACTACAACCACCAACTCCTATTACTGCAATGGCTTCCCATTTAGGAGTCGTCCTCCTCCTTCATGAACAACTCTGAATGACTGCTTGGGCTGCTACTCATTGGTTTAATACAGGAAGTCCCCAATTTACAAAGAGGCTGTGTTCCAAAAGTTTCTAAGTCGGTTGTTTGGAACTCAGAATGCATTTTCCCATAAAGCAGTTAGTTTCCTAGGCTAGCCCATAAAATCCTATTTACCCCATAATGTAGCTGAAATACTGAGAGTTTTTTACTTAACCTTTAAACATGTCTTTCCTCAAGTACCACATTAATTAGAGGAGGAGGACATAGGTGGAGCTTCTGAAGGGGACTTGTGGGCATACCTCTGACCACTCCCCTATGGGATCAGTACTAGGTTCTCTTGCTATTCCCATTCCATGCCCCCTGTGGGCTGCACTCAGCCTCTGCTCACTAGGAGGGTAGTGTGGATTGGAGGACTCCAGAGAAGGGGTAGCTGGAGAGAAACAGTGGTTTCCCCTTCAAAGCACTGCTCCACACAGCCAAGAGACCACTCCTTGCTCCTCTGGAGCCCTCTGGCCAGCACTTATGCTGCTTGCCACCACTTGTGCTTGCCTGCTTCTCTGAGACCAAGGCTGCGCTGTCCTTACCCACAGGCAGGATATGCAGCCATTTAGGGCATCTGAAAATTTGAGGCACCACTGGGTCTTAAAGTCTGTTTATCACACCTATTAGCAGAACACTGAACCTGTGAAAGAGCTATTCGAGTGGTAATGAAGCCATTTAACAAACATTTGCCAACTCCAGGTATTTAACTGTCCATTTCTTAATTTATTATGTTAGTCTACTCTACAGGAGGTTAGTTTAAAATTTGCTATAAAAATATTTCATTAGTGTGCTGCTGAAGATTATAAACCCACATCTCTAAAAAATGTGTCATCCTCCCCCCACTTCAGAGCTGCCATTGGGCATAGGGACACCAGTTTAATAGTACTGCGTAGGACCCCATAAATCCTAAGGACATCCCTGTCTGAGACCGCAGATGACCTTTGTTTGTAGGTGGGGATATTAGTAAGTCCAATGTTTGTAACTGCAGTAGTGGCAGTAACATAAAACTGACACAATTCTTGTTGGTTTCAAAGCTGCCTAAAAAGGACCTAAATTGCAGAAAGTGATGGAAGTCTTGTTAATTCCATGCAGTTGCTACAGCTTGGCAAGTTTTGAGCAAAAGCAGAGGCTCACAAACATCTTCAGACTGAGGAAATCAACACTGTATCAATTTACATTCAGTAAACACTTGGGAAGTACTCATTAACATAAGGACTTTTTTTTTAAAGAAATATTTTGCAAAAGTTGACAGCTTAGTTCCCCTTCCTCCCGCTTCCTATGGAAAGTTGTTTACTGGCCACTGGACAAGTTAGCGTTTTTATCTCTGCCAATTGCATTGGTAATTTTGACTAATGAATGGAGACACCAGGCGGACATGAGACTTATATCTAGGTTAAGTTACATCCATTAGGGATGTCAAATCTCTTTTAATTGGTTGACCAGTTAAACTAAAAGGGATAGGCAGGGGGTGGGGCTCACTAACTAGTTGGAGCGCCCTTGTCAACAGCAGGCCTAGTCTGAGCCTGCCACAGATAATAGCTGCTCTGGCTAGGCCTGCGGTCCACTGTGGACAGAGGCTGCCCCCCCCCTCCTATATTTAAAAATGTAGAGGGAGTGAGGACTGAACCGGGCAAGGCTCTCACTACATTTAAAATGCAGAGCCACATCAGGAGTAGGTCCCGGACCTGGCACAAACCAGGACTGAGTGCTTCTTCCATTATCGACTAATTGTGTAGTTGATAAAAATTCTATTGACTACACAATTAGCAAATTACCCACCTCTTACCATCTTTACTGAGAGTTGTGCATCCAATCAAATCACTGCTACAGTTCAATCAGCACACCCCACAAATTCCAGGGAAAAATGACCCCATCCCAAGAGAATCTTATTTATGACAATTTTGCAATGCACTGAGATGAAGAAGGGCCACTCATGCAGCCCAGTCACTATCCTAGGTCACCAATCACTGGGCTACATATTTTACACACCACTTGGACTGTAGCAATACAATGAGTTTGTATAGAAAAATGCATAGAGAACCCTCTGAAAGAGGAACATCACATGGTATGATGCATAGCTACAACAGGCATGAACAGAAATGGATACTGCAGCTTTCAGGAGTCCCTTTTCCTTCCCTCAGGCAAACTGACCACCTCATACTTGACATTTTAAAATCTTTAAGTCTGACAGTCATTACTTCCTGTAACTCCAATGGGTGAACATGAGAAACTTTCGACTACTGAATCGGGTACATCCTTTCGAATTTAACTTAAGCATTTCTCTCCGCTAAAGTCATCATGCAGCGAGGCAGCACTTGAAAGATCTGAAAAGTAGCCAGTGTTCTAGCTATGTGAAGGGATGCTCTCCCTGTACAGCTGACAGAACTTAGGCTACAGTGTAAAAAGCATTAGCGGGTTATCTCCCTGGAAAAGTGGGGAAATTAACTGTCTGTGCAGGCAAGATAGAGAAAAGCTCAGAGGAGTGGGCGAAGGCGCCATGTGGCCCATTTAAAGTACACGAAAGCGAACAAAACAATCCGGAGCTGAGCAACACCCGTGTGCTCGTGCGCTGTGGCAGGGGCGGGTGCCGTAGGGCGGGAGAGGAAAAGGCTCCCCCGCCACGCACCAGGCGAGGGAGGCGGGTGGCACCAACCTTTGTTCCCCACCGTGACTGCCAAGCTCCGGCTGCTCCCGCCGCTCCTGGGCCCTGGCTCCCGGGGGGGCGGGGAAGGAGGCGGCGACGGTGGCGGCCCCTTTCTGCCCGAGGAAAGCGGCTGCTCCTCCTCCGAGCCGCGGCCGCCGCTGCGAGGGGCGGGGGGGCCCACCCGGACTCTCTTCCTGGGGGTGTCACGCTCAGCCCCTGCGCTCATGCTTAGGAGACCCCCCACGCCCCCCCACAGCCGCGGGGCTGGGCTCAGCAGGGAGGCGAGGCAAGGCCCCGCCCCTGCCGCATCCTCCGCGGCTCGCCCGCACCTGAGCCTCGCGGGGCGGGGGGCAGCGACCCAGGCAGGGCTGGACTCAGGCCAACGGGGGGGCAGGGGCTGCAGCCACACACCTCAAAATGTCTCCCCCGCTCCCCATAGCAACAGCGGCACCGCCCCCCCTCGGGCCGGAAAGCAGCTTGGCTCGGGGCGTCGTAAAGCGGAAGAGGGGGCGCGAAAGTTGCGGTGCTGAGGAGCTGCTTTACGGCCGCGGGGCGGGTGCTCGCTGTCGGCTGGCTCGGTCCCGGCAGGCCCTGTCCCAGCGGCGCATGGAGGGCGGCGGCAACTCGAGGGGCTCCGGCCTCGGCGGCCTGTTCGGGGCGGGGGGAGTCGGGGGCCCGGGCTACTCCCACGCGGACCTGGCCGGGGTGCCGTGTGAGTATCCGCCGCGCCCGCCTCCTGCCCTTCCCGCCGCGGGGTTCCCGTGCGCCCCGCCCAGGGCCCTGTCGGGGGCGCAGGCCCAGGTCAGAGCCGCGGCAGGGGGCGCTCCCCCCCCGAGCCCTGGCGAGTGTCATGGCAGGGGAGCCCGGGGTCGGCCCCGAGCGTGGCGGGGGTCCCGTCCTCCGGAGCCGAGCCTTGTGCGGTCGCGACGAGCCGGTGCCCGGGTAGGCGGGGGAAGATGCGACGTGTCTGTCGCCAGCCAGAGCGCTGATTCAGGGCGCGAGGCCCAGGGTAAAGGTCCCGCGGGGCTGCTGCCACTTGCCGTAGCTTGGGGCCCGCGTGTTGGCCAGGATTTATTCAGACCGGCTGCTGTTAGCACAGAAACATGAGAGTGTTCACATCCTCGCTGTGAGTACTGCTGAGCAGAGAAGGGGGCCTTGCTGCTTAGAGTCAGAAAAACTTCCGTTTGAGCCGATGCGTGCTAGGCTTCATATATAGTTGGATGGATTTGAGAGTTAATGGTACTTGACAGGTACTATGGTCATAGGGAGTCTAAAGTTTGATTGGGGGGAAGAAATGAGTATCCTCTTATTGAGGCCTGCCTGTAGCCTGAAATAAGTATAAAAGCATTTTGTAACTCTGGAACCTCAGTATAATTCATAGAACTTTTAGAACTCTCAGTTCATAGATGACAGTAATCTAACTTTATAGATCAACTTATCCCATTTCACAGATGGGGAAATGGCAGTAGAAGTTAAGTGACTTTAAGGTCACACAGTATGTCAGTGGCCTAGTAGAGAATGGATCCCAGGTTTCCCAACAACCAATCTCTTCATCATACTATTTGTCTCCGCTCTGACTTGAAATATCTTATTGCTTAGAAATGTGTATGTAATGGAAGTTATCTTGACAGTTTTTTAATAAGCTATATAATGAATTTTAAAATTTCTCAAAATTCTCACTACCTTCTTTCCATAACCCCTTCTGACTCAATGTTTGGAGATATTGCTCATGCTGATTTCAGTAATAAAGTGTTCTTTTTCTTTCATCTTTCAGTAACTGGAATGAGCCCTTTGTCTCCTTATTTAAATGTGGATCCCAGATATTTAATACCGGTAAGAAGCATGTTTGTCTTGATTTTTTTTTTAACTCAGTTATCTCAAATGTGCATTGGCTCCCTTGTGCAAAACTGCTTTTCCTAAAGTACGGAAGTCTGATTTCTCTCTCATATTAGCAGTAACAAATTGAAGTAATTTGGAAACTTAAAGTTTGTATAGATTATTAGGGGATGAGGGCTTTGGGGTGTACTGCAGTGTTTGGATTGCAAGAATGGGCTCCAGGCTGGGCTAAAGGGTTTGGAGTGCAGGAGTGGGCTCAGAGCAGAAGATTGGGGTGTGGGGCACTTACCTGGGACAGCTCCTGTTTGGTAGTAGTGGGGAAACAGGTGGGTCCATGCTGTTCTGCACTCACCTGCAGGCACTGTTGCCCACAGCTCCCTTTGGCCATGATTCCTAGACAATGGGAGCTGCAGGGGTGGAGCCTCCAGGTGTGAGCAGCAGAGGGATAGAGCTTCCTGGCATTTGCAGCAATGCAGCTCCAGCCAGGAGAGTGGGGAGGAACAGCAGCACATAGAGCTGACTCCTGCTACCAGCCCCTCAAACCCCTTTTTCAATCTGGCCTTGCTGGAGCTGAAGAAGCACACGTCCCTCCTGGCCGTGGCAGCTCTGTGCTGGCGGAGAGGCACACTCTTCTGGCCACAGCAGAGAGTTCCATACATGGCAACCCTGGGCCCCTGTGTGGGGCTTAAGCAGCTATATATCCATGCACCGCAGAGGAAAACTTGCCAGTGACTTGTCCATGACTTACAACAGAAATAACCTTGATTGAATCCTGGGGAGGAGATGGAACTGAGGAGCCCTGGAAAACTAGCAGCTGTTCTGGCTGCCCAGGAGCTGCTGCCAGGAGACACCAAGCTGCAGCTGCTTCCACTGGCCCAGGAACTGTTTCTTAAGCAATTTGCAGGGTCAGCTGCATCTGCTGCTGCTTGCACAGTCCCTGGGGCTTTTAAGCCAGCTCCCCCCAGCACCAGCTCCTGCTTTTGCAGCCTCTGATATAGAGACAGCAAGGGGGTGATGGGGAAATATGTGTAGTCATTAAGATTAATCAATAAGCTTTAGGGATGTAATAGTGTAGTTGATTGATTAATGCATGCTATAGACTACATGCATTTCTTCCCCCAAGCCAGTAAGTTTTTTAGCAGGCTGGCCAGATTAATGCATGCTATAGACTACATGCATTTCTTCCCCCAAGCCAGTAAGTTTTTTAGCAGGCTGGCCAGCAGCCTGGATGAGTCCTGGCTTGCACCAAGTCCGAGACCTACCCCTGCTGCAGCTCTGCATCCAAAATGTATTAGGATCTGGGCAACCTGGCTCAGTCCTGGCTTGCGCTGGGTCTGGAACCTACCCCTGTTGTGGCTCTGCATTTAGAGTGTTTCAGCAGCACAGGGCGACAGGTAGCAGTGTGGTGTGTCAGGGGGCTCCTCGGGAGTGGGACAGAGTATGTGGTAATGTATGTGTGACAGTGACTGTGTGTTGCACAGAGATAGTGTGGCATGGACTGGGTGTGTGTGACAGTGACACAGTGTGTATGCTGGCTGGGTTTAGGCAGAGAAAGCTGCTCTGCTCTGTTGTTTCTCCCCCTTCCCTGCTCTGCAGAAATGGTGGTGGTGGTGGTGGTGGTGGCAGGGCTGGGTGGAGGGTGGAGAGAGAGAATGAACAGTGCACTGCCTCTTAAGAGAGGCTCTGAGTCACTTACCATCCATGCTTCAGATTGGAACAGCTCTGTGTCTCTCTCTGACCTCTGCTCTGCAGAAATGGGGTACAGAGGAAAGAGGACACCCTGACTTCAGCAGTCCCCTCTTCCCTCCACCCCTTGGCCTTTGCTGTGCACAGCCAGCAGGAGAATCCTGGGAGCAGCTCTGCTTCAGGATGGAGCAAGGGGGCGGAGGGGCAGCTGGACGCACATAGCTGGCTGTAAGTACGCACCTCTGCTAATCAGCGGGGCGAGCTGGAGAGAAATCCTTGGTGGGCCGGATCCAGCCCCGAGGCTTGTTTTTACCCACCTCTGCTGTAACATTATGAGAGGTATAGAAAATTAGAGTATTACTGATTTGATTTTTTTTCCTCTCTGAGGTGTTCAGCAACACTTAGGTGAAAGTGTTCTGATTTTATTTAAACCTTAGTATGGTTAAGTCAGATAAAATTTGAGATGTCTGAAATCATGCCTCCTTGGAAAGTACAAATGTACAAAACACTTTAAAAATTTCTGTTTCAGGATACAGATGAGTTTATCTTACCTACAGGAGCTAACAAAACTCGGGGCAGATTTGAGTTGGCCTTTTTTACCATAGGAGGATGTTGTATGACAGGTATGTGGTGGTATTATTAATATGAGACTGTTACTGTATTACATTCCAAGTACATGAGACTCTCAATCAAACAGAAGAGATGTTGTTCTATAGTATTTCCCTGCAGGATGTATGTTACTCCTGAGGGAATTCTGCACCAAAAAATTACAGATTCTATGTACAATATTTTAAAAGTCTGCATTTGATTCTTAAAATAATCACACCTGAATTCAGTTATTTTGGCAATTTATTAAACTACAGTACCATGGATGGAGAATGCGGTTGGAGAGCTTTGGAGGAAATCCCCAAACCTCTTCTCTCTGATAGTAACATAGCTACCGTTGATCCTTTATTTCTAGTTATAAGTCAAGAGATACATGCAGCCATATGCTTAGCGTTACATCATAGACAAAAGCAAGCATGGGCTGGGGCCTCAAGCTCTCAATTTTATATTGACTGCTGATCATCTCCAGAAAGCAAACAGTTCATTGATCACATTTTGATAGGATGTTCTTTCAGTCCAAAAATTAGAGTTCTAAATCACTAAAGTACCATAAGCATTTATAAGCCCTTTACAATAATACTCCTGTACAGCACACTGGCCATATAAAGAAGCCTTAAAGTTTGTACACCTGTTTCATATTCATGGAGAATTCACGAAGACAAAAGGCTACAATTAACTAAGCAGGCAAGCAGCTGCATTCTGCTCTGCCGGAGTGAACAGAGCCTGCCCCATACCTACCCTCCTCAGAAACACTCCAAAGCCTTACCCTTCCTCTAGAGACATAAAATCCTATTTAATTAGTTAACCAGGTAAAAGTTAAGTTTTAAGTGGTTAACTCATTAAATGTGGGAAGTCTGGGGGACTTTTCCAGCTCACTGGGCTGGAATGGCCCCTAAGCCACAGGGAAGGTGCTCAGTTCCGGCTTGTGCTGGGTCTGGGACCATTCTCACTGCAGCTCTGCAGTTGAAATGTAGTAGGAGCCAGCCTGCCTCTTACTACATTTAAATTGCAGATCTGCAGCAGGGATAGTTCCTGACTGTGCACAAGCTGGGACTGAGCTGGGCTTGCTCAGTCCCGGCTTGCGCTGGGTCCAACATCCCCTGTCTGCGTGGGGTCCCAGCAGAGAGTTGAGACCCCTGTGGACAGGGGCTGCTGCTGAAGCAGCCTCTGCCTGCAGCCAGGGGCCTCTTTGTGGCAGTAGCCTGTGCTGTGGCTGCTGAAGCAGCAGTCTCCCCTACCCCGAGGGAGCAGGTGGCTCCGCAGAGACAGTGTTGGGGGGGAACCAGATTTTAAGCTGGCTTCCCTTGCCTCCCCTGCTCCCCCCAGTGCTGGCTCCTGCCTCTCCTCCCTCGCCTCCACCCTCTGCCTCTGATAGAGCACTGGTACAAAGGCAGCAAGGTGAAGGGAGAAATGTGAGGAGTCATCTTGACTGATGGATAAGCCTATGTTTATCAGTCGACCACTCGCATTCCTAGTATGTATTTATATTATGCAATAGCTACCTAATTCTTGTCTGTAGACTTGCAAGATGAGGAATAAATGTATCTATTTACTTCATTCTTTATAACATGGGTGGGGAACCTAGGGCCTGGATGACTTATAAAGTAACTGCTAATATTATAATTCACTAGGGGCTGCATTCGGTGCACTGAACGGCCTGCGTCTGGGATTGAAAGAGACGCAAAGCATGACCTGGTCCAAACCTAGGAATGTACAGTAAGTATATAAATAGTACACATATGTGGGTATTTCTCACCATCATTATTAAAATGGCTACAAGCCATGAATTTCATTGGTGACACTTCACCCTTCTCAAGGGGCTATGAAAAGAGAATAAATGAAGCACTAATGATCTTACTGAAAATCCACCATGCATCAAGACTAGTTTTCTACAGATTGAAGTACTCCTAGAGCAATTACAAGTTGTCTAGAGACTTTTTTGTTTTTCTTGTCAGTACTCCCAGGCTTTGTAGGATCAAGAAAAGATAGACTTAGGCTGTGTCTAGACTACAGAGACTGTTGGCATTGCCCTCTTGTGTAAACAACTTACATTAATGGAGTTTTTCTGCTGGTGTAAGAAAACTGCCACTCCAAATAATGAACAGAGATAGGCTGGTCCCACACTACCTTCCACATCCTAATGACTTAATAAACCAACCAAACAATGGAGGTGCTAATTGTTCTTTTAACCTCTTGTAACTACTTGAACAATTTAGTCACTGGGTTTTTTTTCCCATCTCTTCCGGTTCCCCTCCCCTTCTCCCCTTCCCTTATTTATTCTTGGATCTGGACTTTTAATACTTCAGTCATCTGAGGAAGTGGGTTGTACCCACGAAAGCTCATGATACTATCTACATGTTTTGTTAGTTTTTAAGGTTCTTTAAGCTTTTCTAGTTACAGACTAACTCAGCTACCCCTCTGAAGATTCTAAATGATGTTAACTATGTACAACAACTCTTCACTTAATGTTATCCTAGTTAACATTATGTTGCTTATCTATTAAAGTGTGTGTGCATTTAAAGTTGCACAACATGTCCTTATGTCATTTGGCTGCCTACCTTCTTCACTGCTTGCAGGATTCTCTGGAATCAGCCCATACTTGTGGGGGTTTGGAATGCTGGTGTGCTGGCACCATCTCATCAGCTCCCCTAAATTACCTGGAGATTGAGCAGCTGCAGTGCTGTTCCTAGGAGCCTCTGCTTGCTGTATGAAGTGGGGGAAAGTCTGCCACCAGTTGAGCCCCCCACTTTGTACCCCATCTCCACAAAGCAGGATATCACAGATACAGAGTCCTGAGTCTGAACTTCATGCTCTACTGTACTTAAAAGAGCAGTGTACTTGAAGTTGGGTCAGTGTCCTTAAAGGGGCAATGAGTATCTGTCTGCCTCTCTCTCACACACACACACACACACATAATTTGTGGGTATTTCTCATACACACACCCCTTAAAAAACAATGAATAGTCTAGTAGCACCTTAGAGACTAACAAAACATGTAGATGGGATCATGATCTTTCGTGGACACTGTGCAGCTGTGTATGCACTGGCTGGAGGAGAGAGTGGTACGCTCCAGTGGGATAGGGTGGGTTTATCATCCTGTTCATTTTCGGCAGAGATGTGTTACAGGTAGCCACTGCCACTCCCTTCTGCCTTGCTCCATGCTATTTTGTAGAGTTAGAAGATAGAGCTATTTTGTACATTAATAACAACATGTTAACCCTTGAGGGCTCAGTCAAGTGCTAGTTCATCATTCAGTAGCAAGACATTCCCTGGGAAATATTCCTCCACTTCAGTCAAACTTTACCATTATCATTGTTGTGTATAGTATTAAACTGTTAGTTTAAAACTTGATATTTTATATGTATATACTGTCTTGTCTGCTGAAAACATTTCCCTGGAACCTCACCCTCCCTTTACGTGGGGAAATTGGATTCACATAATATTGTTTCACTTAAATGGGCATGTTTCACTTAAATGGGCATGTTTCACTTAAAGGGGCATGTTTCAGGAAAATAACTACAATGTTAAGCGAGGAGTTAATGGAGGCAAAGGTGCTCTTCAGTCAGAATAGCTACACCTACACTGGGATTTTTCTTGGCATGATTATATTTGTCAAGGATATGTCTTTTCTCATACTTCTGACAAGGCATTGCTGAAGTGGAGACCAAGCCTCAGAATAGAATCAGTCTCCCTGTCCGCACAGAAAACAAACATCTGATTTCCCTCTTC